TGAGTGATGTCCACAGTGGTGCCTGTCGCTCTGCACCCCTTGCTGTGCCTCCCTCCTTGATTCATACCCAAGCCACACCTGGGCTTCAGGTGTCGCCTCCCCCATGGGTCGTGAGCACCCCAAGCCTGGTCCCGAGTCGGGCGAGTTAATACAGGCAACCTCACTCCCATTTCCTAGTTGAGAAACAGGGGCCCAGGGAGGTAAAGCCACCTGCCTTGATGTGGTGGTTCTGAGCTGGGCACCTGGCAGTGTCTGGGGACGTTTGGTGAGCACACAGAGGGAGGGTACTGTGGATGTCCCGTGGGCGAGCCCAGGATGCTGAGCAACACCTGCTGTTCCATGTGTTCGAAACACTCCCAGACTCTTGCACTCTACTTGGAGGTGGGGCTCTGGGAGGTTATGAGGGTGGGGTCCCTGGTGGCTTTGGTGGCTTTATAAGAGGAGAGACCTGTGCTCCCAGGGCTGCTGTCTCCCCATGTGGTGCCAGCCACGTTGACGCAGCAGGAGGCCTCGCCAGGTGCTGGTTCTGTGCACTTGGAATTACCAGGCCCAGGAACCATGAGCCACACACACTTCTGTTCCTTATCAGTTACCTGGCCTCAGGGACTTTGTTATAGCAACAAGAAACAGGCCAAGACATACCTGCAGTGCACAGGATGCCCCGGCAGAGAATGTCCAGCCCCAGATGCGCCTGGTGCTGGGGTGGCAAGTGGCAGGGAGCTACTTCACCGCTGCGCTGGGACTGAAGCCTGGACATGAGTCGCTGGCCTCAGCACACTCAGGGGCCGTTCAACACAGCTCAGTCCACACAAAGCCTGTCTAGTAGTGGCCACTGCACACTCTGGCCTCATGAAGCTGGGCTTCACTTGTAGGCAGCCTGGGTGGGCCAAGCATACCTGAAGCAATGGGGAGAAAACCAAAAGGTTTTGACTCAGGCTCAATTATCAGAAACCAGCTTTGGTCACGGGAGGAGACGTTCTACGGAAGTGCACCCTCTTTGTTTCTTCCTAGATTCCTGTGGTGTACTGTGGCTGGGCATGTGTTTGTGCAACTCCTCGAGGCCGTGCCTATGCATGCCCAAATTTCCACAGCACCCAGGCCTGAAGCTACAGGTAAGCAAGGACGGTCAGGTTCCCTCCACAGCATGATGCATGTGGGAAATGGGCTCAGTTCCCAGCCTGTGCACCCAGCCTTGGCCCTCTGCCGTGCTGCCCCCATGGACCCTATCCACCACCATCCTTCAGGTTCCAGCTGAATGTCACCCCTCACAGGGCCTCAGACTCCAAGGAGGCCAGGCCCTCTGCCTTCAAGACTCTGTATGGTCCACTTGTAACCGTCATGTTCCATTGTCCCCTCAATTGACCTGCTCCAGCCCTGCCTCGATGGAAGGACAGCCAGAGCAGGAGCCCCTCTCTCCTCCACCTCCAGGGGCCTGTGCTGAGGACACGCCACAGCATCAGTGACACCAGGCAGAGATGGAGGCAGGGAGGCCACGTGGCCTCCATGAGACACAACACTGAGAAAGGAAAGGTCATTGGCTGGAGGTCCTACAGCCCACTGAGGTCACTGTGGCGGCTCTGCCAACACATTACACACCCTCCCTACCCTGGCTGTGTGTGCATGCGTATGTGTGCATGGGCATGTTGTGCCTGTGTGCACACAAGCACACACAGCTGCATGCACACATGTGCCCACATCCATGTGCTCATGCCCACACACAATATGCACATGTGCCCACACACAGGTGCTCATGTCCACACACAGCTGAATGCACACACGTTCATGTTCATGTCCATACAACTGCATGCACACATGTGCTCACATCCACGTGCTCATACCCACACCGCTGCACACACATGTGCCCACACACAGCCACATGCACACGTGCCCACGCCCACACACAGCTGCATGCACACATGTTCACCCTCATGCCAACACAGATGTATGTACATGCCTGTGCCCACAAAGCCGTATGCACACACATGCTTGTGCACACGTGAACACATATACTACACACACACACACAATCATGCACACATGCTTGAGGAAAGCCCTCTCATGGAGGAGGAATTCCCAGTTCTGGTGAAGAGTTTGACATTCTCCTTGTGAAAAGAAGCTTCTCACACTTTGGAGGTCCCATGGGACACATGTCTTGATGTGTCCACAGCTCCCCATGAAGGCCAGCTGGGTGGTGCTCCCTTCTGCAGAGCAGAGCTGAGCTTTCCACACTGTGCTATTCCCTTTGGTGATAATGTCCACCCCCTCCCAAACCAGCTGGGCAGACTCCAGACACCAAGAGCTGCAGCTCTCAGAGCCTTCTGCCCACCAAGCCCTATGTGGGGAGGGCTAGCCGTCCAAAGCAGAGCTCAAGCCAAGATAGGCTTTGTCCTCTTCTGGACAGGACTGGGGCTGCTGTGTCCACGGCTCCCCTCTGGGGCCCCCAGGGCCTCCAGACCTGCTGCTGACTCGAACTCGGGGGTTTCTTCTACAAGGCAGGCTTCTTGCATATCTTTCCCGCTCCCCAATTTTGGAAAACCCTTTTCTGGTAGGATAAGGAGGTCCACCCAATCCCAGGAGACAGGTACAGGTAGAAGTCCACCTTACATCTCACATCTGCAATGGGCTGAATTGTGCCCCAAATGCACAGTAACTTCCCAACCCCAGTGCCTCAGAGAAGGCCTGGATTTGGAGTTCCAGGCCATTTAGAGAGGTCATTTGGTTCAATGAGGTCATTAGTGTGGCCCTAGTCCACTCTGGCTGGGGTCCTCAGAACATCAGGACACAGATACACAGAGCGATGACCATGTGGGGACATGGGGGAGAGTGTCCACATACCAATGGCAGAGGCTACAGGAACCAGCCTGGCCATGTCATCAGCTGGACCTCTGAGTCTAGCCTCATGGGCGAGGGCACACCTGGGGACCTAACTTTCCAAGTGCCCTGCTGCAGCAGCTGGTGCAGACCAAGCCAGCATCCCACCAGTGAAATACATGACACAGCTGCCCACGCATGCTCTCCTGCCGACTTAGGTGTGGGGTTAGTCCAACTTACCGCTGAACAGGGCAGGCTGGCTCTATCCCTGCTCCCCATGGGTGTCGCCACCTCCAGCCAGGGCAGCCTGGTTGGGCTTACCAGGACTGCCCGAGCTGAGAACTCAGCAAAATGACCCTGGGGATTTGGAGGCCAAGTTCTAGGAAGCCTGGCCTCATCTGTCTGGGTCTACTGGACGCTCACTCTTGGGAAGCAGCCTGGGATGGCCAGTCTGCTGTGCTGAGCGGCCCACACGGCTCAGCATTCTGTGAGAAGAGCCCGAGCTGTCACAGCACAATGCTGGAGACACCCAGAGGTGGCCCTGCAGATCAGACAAACCACCCAGGGGGTCCTTCCCCAAGACCCTCAAGAGTGGGCAATGAAACAGCTGACTCAGAAGCACCGGAGTGGCTTGTGTGCCTGATAGGGGATGTGAACTCACCCTTTCTTCCAGGAGGTCCCAAGTATTGTCCCACAGACTCAGAATTCCTGCCTCAGCCCCAAGCCTGTCTGCACAGTGCCCACCCACACGGCGCCCACGAGGCCGGACAGAGTCCAGAGGGTGAAGGAATTCAGCTATTGGAAAGACTTACTTATTTTTATCGAAAAACAATTTTACTGGAAAACCTTGGGAATAAAAGTTGTCGCTTATTCTGTTACTAATAAAAACACACACAAACTCCACACCTGCATTCCACCACGCCAACTCCAAGGTGGCAGTTCACCTTTCTCACCCACTTCACGAGGGAGCTGAAGCACAGAGCCAAGGTCACACCACGGGCAAGTGGCAGAGTTGGGATTTGGGCCTATGCTCAGACCTCTGTGCACCATCATTCCAAATGGGAGAGCTGGGCATCAGAGTGGATGTGCAGGAGTGGCCATGACGAAAGGGCTCCAGCAGCCCACGGACAGGGAGGTACCACCAGTCTGTCCACTCTGGACCAGGCTCCTGGTCATTCCCCAGGCAGGCAGAGCTGCTACTGTCTCCAGTAGGTGCTGGCTGGGCTGCCCATGACAGGTGACCTGTACCCCAGGGAATAACTATTCATTTGTCTATACCGGGTCCTCTCCCCATAAGATGCCAGGCTCTGCTTATGACACTATCCATTTTCCCTCCTACGGCCTAGCACCTCAAAACCAAAACTCTGCTTTTCTGGAGTCTCCTAGCCATCTCCAGGTTCACATGTGTTCATGGACTAGTGTCAGTCACACCCACCGCCTAGGTCTGGGCATGCTCCTTTCTCTCCCCCTTAAACGCTCATCACTGCCAAGATCCCTCTCCTCACTGCCTAATTACCCCTGGTGCTTGGGCTCCACCAGAAGCATCCCTCCCCACTTCCCTGAGCATCAGAGGCCCAGGGCACAGGCCCATCACAGGGGTGACCTTGGGAAATGACACCTGGTACTTGAAACTCTGTCATTTATTGTCATCACCCACTGTCAAGGTTCCTGAATTTCTGACGCTGGGGCAGCTGGTACTCCAGCAACAGTCTCCACATTCCCTACCCTGGGGAACCGGGTCCACAGCTCCCTGTATTGGACTCATGGGCCCACACACGTTCCCTGTAGTTGAGAAGCAGCCAGTAATTGTGCCAGACTAAGGTTTAATCTACTCATGAGACTCATCTCTGAGACTCACAGCACATGAGGAGCCAGGCCACAAAAGGACCTCGTTTCCCAAGAATCCTGCTTCAGCTTTTCAACACTGACAAATGGCAGCTCTCCAAAATCCCAGAGCATAATGCTTCCTTCAGATCCTCTGCAAAGACACCAGGGTACGGTTTTGCTTCTCATCTCCTTTAGCAGAGCATCAACTACCACTTTCTGAAAGCATCGACTTGCTGACATGGGGCATTTCTGCTCTGCCTCAGACCCAGAATGACAGGTTTAACTGCTACCCCAAAGGCATTTGCAGTAAACGGATTAAGTGTCCTTTAGCTACAAGTTGCCCACAATGTCTTTCAGTGGGGTCCTTGGGAAGGGGCTGCTGTCCCCGGGGCATGTAAGACACAGGCCAGAGCTCCGCCCCAGGAAGCGCCTTCGGACTCCAGGGGTCTTCCGCCCTCTAGTCCGTGCGCAAACTCTCCAGGGCAGAGGAAGGCAATTCGCTTCCCATCTGGGGCTCTGGCTTGACGGGGTGTGGGCTGATTCCCAGGGCTGCCGGTCCGAAGGTCAAGAGAGGTCAGAACACGGGCGGTTAAAATTTATTTCCTCTGATAAGGGACCTTCCCGAGGTCACGTCGCTCGGTCGCCCGCGCAGAGGCCGAGGGCTACATCTGCCGCTGCTTGTGCCTGGGGTTGGTCTTGCAGTAGACGAACCAGCGCCCGCGCCGCTTCACCAGGTAGCAGTCCTTGCAGCGCTTCTTGAGCACAGCCTTGGTCTTGAAGCCCGCCGCGGGCTGCGGGAGCGCCAGGCGCGGCACGGCGCCCGCCCGCACGGCGCCCGCGAGGCCGGACAGCAGGGGCGCGCACGAGGCCGACGCCGCGGCGCAGGGGCTCAGGAGTCGGAGCGGGCCCGCGACGGTCGCCAGCACGCGCCTCGCCAGTAGCGCGGCCATGCCTCGTCCCGGCCTGTGGGAGAAAACCCGTCAGCGCCC